ACTTTACATTTTAGTGACTGAGACATCTTCTCCACTTCAAAAGGAAAAACAGGCAGATGGCGAGCACCACTTTAAGGAGTGAGAGCTCATTGATGAACTGCCTGTGACTCTTCAATCCTACTTGTAGTAATTCCCTTAATTACTACATCAAGAGCCTCTACTGCCAAATTAATCAAGATTCCTGACAATTTTCAAACTATTTCTGAATCTATCATAGAATATATACTTTTGCTTTCTATATTCCGTTATTTCTTACCCCAACAGAGCTTATCCTTGTCATAATCTTCAAAATAATCTCAATTTAAAGAGCTTTTGTGATCCACTTAAATTCTCCAGCCTAAAGCAATCTTTTCATGAGTAGCTGTGTGAAGATACAGCTATTTCCCCAGCATTACACAGAGAATAGAAACTACAGACACACAGAGAAGATAATGTGAAGACACAGGGAGAAGATGGCATCTCCAAGCCAAGGAAAGGCCGCAGAAGAAACCAACCCTGGTGACGCCTTGATCTCAGCCTTCAAACTGCCAGAATTGTGAGAAAATAAATGTTATTACAGGTACTCAGTTTGCAGAACTTTGTTATATGGCAGTTCCAGCAAACAATACAGTTCCTACGTCACACCTGCTTAATACTTCCAGAGCTCAGAGTTCAGTGACGGTCATGAACAGCGCACCCACGCCCTTTTAAGACTGTCAATGACATCTGTTCAAATAAATGTATGTTCCTATCTCACCAGGCAAGAACAAAAACTCATGTATTAATATGTAGAGAGTAAGTAGGAGGATGAAAACGTTTAAGAACATACGTTTTATTCCCCTTGTCCTCTCCCCCAGAAGGTAAGATGCTCCCATGGGAAAACATGCCTGCAGTGATTATCTGGTTCTGAGGCATACCAAAAGCACACCTCCCCTCACCCGGGCTAATGGTGTGTGTGGCCAGAGCAAGAGACATAACGGGGTCCAGAGAAGGGAGGAGGCATCCCCAGGACAGAATGAAGAAGAGAAGGCAAGGAAGAGTAAGATGAATGCTCAAAGGGTGAGGAGCTGGGGGCGGAATGACACATACAGGGTGAGGCTGCAATTGTCTCCATGGGTAAAAAGCAGCAGGGAGCCCAGAAAAGATTTCCCTTCGTTCCCCCCCACCCCCACTCCCTTTGTTAACAGCCAAACCTTAAAAGTGATGTGACAAGGGGGGAAAAAGGTAGAGATTAGAAAAGGGAAAAACAGATACTTTCCCTGTCCAACTTTCTTTTTAAATAATTTTTTCTTTTTCCAGTTCACTCTATTCCCCACCGTTACAATATAAATATCCTATATAACAGGTACCCCCACTGCCTACCAACCACTTGTTTTTGGTCCAGAGAAAGGCAAGTGGTGCAACAAGGGGAAGCACACGTAAATGACCACAGGAGCTGACCATACTTTCACAGCACCATAAAATCATCCGCCAGTAAAATGTTTGTTCATTGCTTGGAGGAGATAACTTCAAGGAGAGTCCTTGATAGCTAGTCAGTCTCCATGGTTGTAAGAAACATCAGCCCAGCCAGTGTGGCTCAGTGGTTGAACGTTGACCCATGAACCAGGAGGTCATGGTTCGATTCCTGGTCAGGGCACATGCCTGGGTTGTGGGCTCGATCCCTAGTGGGGAGCATACAGAAGGCAGCCAATCATGATTCTCTCTCATCACTGATGTTTCTCTCTCTCCCTCTCCCTTCCTCTCTCTGAAATCAATAAAAACATTTTATTTATTTTTTAAAATATATTTTATTGATTTTTTACAGAGAGGAAGGGAGAGAGATAGTCAGAAACATCGATGAAGAGAGAAACATCGATCAGCCACCTCCCACACATCTCCCACTGGGGATGTGCCCGCAACCCAGGTACATGCCCTTGACCGGAACCGAACCTGGGACCCTTCAGTCCGCAGGCCGACGCTCTATCCACTGAGCCAAACCGGCTTCGGCTGAAATCAATAAAAACATTTTAAAAAAAGAAAAGAAACATTAGATATTGGTTGGTTTGAGGGCTGAGGCTGGTTTGAATGCCATAAGAGCAAAAATTTTGTCTTACATACACAGAAACAGAGAAAGGCAAATGAAGAGAAGGAGGTAGGAGAGGTATAGGGAGAAGCAGTGGTCAGAGACCACCTGACCCAGAAAAAGTAATCTTGGATCCCTATACAATGTCTACTTCTTGGTTTTGGCCCCTAAGATTCCTTATAAAAATTTGGGGTTTTTTGTTCTGTTTTGCATAAGCTGATAGGTTTGTATTTGCAACCAAGAGCCTTGATAAAATAGTGATCTGTAATTTATGAAGCACCTTCAGGTATACTATCTCATTGGAGACTGGCAATACCCTAGGAAAAAAAGAGGGCGGTCAGTTTTACTCTTGTTTCACTGCTTACAAAGCAGAGGCTTGGAGACATTGTGCACCCAATGAGCCAGCCTCCTGGGATGCATGCCCTTGTGACATCCCCTCCCATGTCGACTCTGGATTTGGCTTTGTGACTTCCTTTGGCCAATGGGACATTAGTAGACTCAGTGACAGAAGCTGATGCTTAATAAACCCCTGCCTGCTGCAGCTTGTCTTCTAGCCACCATCCTAAAAGGATAGGTATCCAGGAGAGAGAAGACCCAAGGAGAGGCTATGTGAGATGAGATATGAAGGAGATGCCACAAGCAGGAAAACTGGGACACCTCAGGCAAGCTCCCTCCCAGCTCCAGGCTGCCACAGTAATGACCTTGGCTAACAGAATAAATGAAAAGGATGTTAAGCAAATTCCCTTTTATCTCAAAGCTAATAAATAAAGCTGAATCCAAGTCTTCTGATTGAGTTCAGTGATTTACTCACTGCTCCAAGATGTGAAGAAAAATAACTCAAAAATTTCATATACTTCACTTAAACAATAGAAAACGAAATTAATTCAGAACACTCAGCTGTGAAATTATCTTGTCAGCATATAAATGAATTAAAAATATATGTATGTAAATGTAGACAGGTAGGAGAGTGTTACTAAAATACTTAGCATGGTTACAGAATCTCTAAATGCTTTTCTCTTCTGTATTGAAAAATTTTTTTAAATATCAAAGGCAGAATATACAAAAATGCTTGGGGCAATATTATTTCTAATAGTGAAAAAATAAACAAAAAACCCACACTATTACCCAGTGATAGGAAACAGGACAAATTATGGTATATTCATACAATAGTGTAAACAAGGGACTAAAGTTTCATAAAGCAACATGGATAAAGCTAAAAAAAATGTAAAGTTGAGTAGGAGAAAAAGCGAAAGAATACAAACAGCTTAATCACTTATTAAAAAATTAGCAACATATCTGTTAGGGAATACATATGTAATAAAAGCAATAATGAAAGGCAAAATTCAAAATGGCAGGTTCTCTTGAAGGGAAGAAAGCAGGATATACTTGGAGAAAGGCATGGTGAGGGCTCCAAAGACATTGGTCATATTTCATTTCTTAAGTTGAGTAGTAGTATAAATGTTTGTTTTATGATAACCTATACCTTATATCTGTGATAAACAGCTTTTGTATCTAAAATATATTTCAAAATGAAAACAGATTTTTTAAAAACCACCAAAAAACCTAATAAAGGAAAATTAGATTGTCTCCAGCAATATATGCTTTATACCCAGAAATCAACCTAACTCACAAATGCTCAATAATTTTATTTTACAATAAAAAGGGGCACACTTTAAAAACAAACAAACATGTTTATATTGATTTTCAGAGAGAGAGGAACATCGACATGAGAGAGAAACATTTATCAGTTGTCTCCCGCACATACCCCGACCAAGGATCACTAGGGATTGAACCCACAACCTGGGCAGGTGCCCTGATCAGGAATCGAACCAGCGACCTTTCAATGCCACAGGACAACACTCAATCAACTGAGCCATACTGGCCAGAGTAAAGGGCACACTTTTTTACTCCTAATTACACAGCAATAATGGTAAAGCCTCCAAGAGCTCAAAACTCGTATTAAAATGGATACGAAAGGAAAAACAGATATTTAAGTATAATGCTTAAACTATTTCATTTAGTCATTTTCAGGATATTTTGGGACCCAACTATGTAACATCTATTTTTTCATGAACAAAATTCCCTCTGAACCCAGGGCACAGGTGTCTGTCCTTCCAAGAGGGGACCTGCTGAATTACCTAGACTAGCGGTCGGCAAACTGCGGCTTGAGAGCCACATGCGGCTCTTTACCCCTTGAGTGTGGCTCTTCCACAAAATAACACGTGCAGGCGCGCATGTACAGTGCGATTGAAACTTCGTGGCCCATGCACAGAAGTCGGTATTTTGTGGAAGAGCCACACTCAAGGGGCCAAAGAGCCGCATGTGGCTCGCGAGCTGCAGTTTGTCAACCACTGACCTAAACCTTCCATCAATTTGTCTGCCCTGGATAGGGCCCCGGGAAAGGACCACACCCCATACTAAGAAACCCACACTCTTCCCTGGCCAGTTAATTGTATCAGGAATGGACAGCTGACCCAAAGCCAACAACAGCCATGGTCTGCCACTGCCTTATTCCTACCATCCTCTCCTTTGAAATCAGTGCAGTTGGGGGCTATCTTTCCATCAGAGCACCTACCACCATTATCAAATAATTATATGTTTGTTTCGGTGATTATTCACCGATGTCTATTTTCTCTCCTAAACTAGAAGCTCCATAAGGGTGGGAATGGGTCAGGTTTTGCTCACCACTGTGTTCTACCAACTAGCACAATTCCTGACACATGCTAGGCATTTGATAAGTGCTGTGTTTTACGAGGAAGAAAGGGTTGTAATATTATAACTCCTTTTTCTCTAAAGTTTTATTTCATGAAACTTATATGGCAATATACCCACTTTGGGCAGACCCAAAATTAAGGCAAAGGAATTAAAGCCATAATAGAATCTACATTTATCATCAAAGAAAAAAATGTCAAAATGCCACAAAAAATTTGACAAGTTTAAGGAGTTTATAGAAACATACCTGAATGAAGCTGAATTTTCCCAATAACACCTTCTACCAAACCCAAGCAAATGGGATTCCAGGCAAGAAGTAGATCAGTAGCTAAAATAAAGTAAGAAACAATCATGAGAAAATATTCATCAGAAAACAAATTAAAACAGTGTATTAAAAGCAGTATATTAAAATATGATCAATGTCCAAAAAGAGCAGTTATGAACACCCAGAACTGAATACATTACTATCAAGCAATTTTTGAAAAAGCATTAAATCAAAGCCTGAGAAAGGCTTCTGTCAATAAGGACAATTATGGGGAAAGAACTGACATTCTGAAACTCTGCTCAGTTGGAGGCAGTACTCTAGCGCCCTTCAGTGGGGGAAAGAGGCTGGTACACTATAAGACAACAGAGATGCCGGCAGTCCTATAGTCATAGCTAGTCCCAAATCCAAAGACAAGGCCTGAGAAACTGCCATATAGAGATGTCCACTTACTGGATCTCAGTCTGGAAAATGCCCTTTCCCCGAGAATCGTACACCAAGCAAAGAAATCCAGAAAGCCAGGGCTCTTTTATGGGACTTCTAGGGCAAAAATAATAGGAACAAGTACTGAGTGCCTGGTGTGCGCCAGGCATCTCAGCCATAAAACAATGATGTGGGTGACTGTTTTCTCAGTTCTCACAAATAACTTATGCCATTCTAGACACATAGGAGACAAGTTAATTCATTACACACATTGGGTGTCTGAGGACATTAGGGCTAATTCTCTTGTGGAACCCAGATTGCAAAAGGCTGTGAAATACATGGATATAAATGTAACATTAATGGTAGTTCAATAGGCTGCAGGTTCAATCCCTGGCCCCAGTTGTGGTGTGTGTGGGAGGCAACCAATCAATGTGTCTCTCACATCAATGTTCTTCCTCCTCTCTTTTCTCTTTTCTCTTTCTCTCTCTCTCTCTCTCTCCCCCCTCCTCCCTCCCCTCATATCCTCTCTCCCTCCCTTCCACTCTCTAAAAATCAATGGGAAAAATATCCTCAGGTGAGAATTAAAAACTAGAAAAACTAAAACAATAACCAAGTTTTGTGGTATAAAGACTAAAAATAATAGTTACTGATAATCTTTGAGGTTCAAAATGAGAACCAGTTAAACCCATTAAGACTGAATTCATGCCGAAACCGGTTTGGCTCAGTGGATAGAGCGTCAGCCTGCGGACTGAAAGGTCCCAGGTTCGGTTCCGGTCAAGGGCATGTACCTGGGTTGCGGGCACATCCCCAGTAGGAGATGTGCAGGAGGCAGCTGATCGATGTTTCTCTCTCATCGATGTTTCTGACTCTCTATCTCTCTCCCTTCCTCTCTGTAAAAAATCAATAAAATGTATTTAAAAAAAAAAAAGACTGAATTCATGGTGGGATGATCAAGGACAAATGTCTAGCTGTAAGAACCAGAGATATGAAAGGAGGACAAGAAAACAGAAGATGGTGACATTAAAATTCCAGGTGTAAAAGTTAACCTTTGAAAAGGAAGGATACCACTTTTTTCTAAGTCTAGAAGCCAAGATGAAAGACTAAATATAGAAATGGAGAAGAAAAGCAGATGATGTATTGGATGGCCTTGATTCAGTAAAAATAGGAGTCAAGTCACCTTTGCTTTAGCAGGGGAAGGACAGAGGCACAGAGAGGCAGCAGAGGCGTGGTGTGGTGAAGAGACTTCAGAAAGTCAATTTGTGAATGTTCTGTGTGTGTTCAAAAGCATGCATATTTTTAACTTAGTGTTTTTAAGGAAAAAGGGTATCAATCCATTAGTGGATCATGAAATCAATTTTGTATGAAATTAGTATTAACAGCAATACAACAGAATAGAGCAGAAAACAGAAAAATTGCACCATGTAGGGAAATATTTTATGAAACCTTTGTTTCTGGTACATACATATGTGTTCAACAGGTCATGATTTTTAAAGTATTTCTTACTGTGGATCTGAAACATTTGAACACACTGTTTAACTTTGGGGCTAGGGCTCATTATATCAACTTGGTTGATTATTTTGTTCAACTCCTCTATGTATTTGCTAATTTCCTTGACTGCTAAACCTAATAGGTTGTTGTTGTTTTCTTTTAACTCTCATGTTTTCTGTTTTTTTTTTTTCCATTTTTCTTTCTTAAGCTTTGTTTTACACTTGAGACTATGTTCAGGATTACTATATCTTCCTGGTGAACTGCTCTATCAGGATGTAATAACTGCCTTTATTTTAAATGATGTTCTTTGCCCCAAAGTCTAGCTTGCCTACCATTATTATTGTGAAGGAAATACATTAGATATAAAAAGGGATAAATATGAACATTGCTAATCCATTGTATTCCTTCTCCTATTCCCCACAGCTTTAGAAACTAAGTCCAAATTCCTCGGGAAGGCTTGTAAGGCCTGCATGGGCGGGTCCTGTGCACCTCCTCCTGCCTCCCCACCCCGAGCATCCTGGTCTTCCTGCAGTCATCCCCAAGTGTGCACAGGCTGTGTGTGGAATGCTGCTCCCCACCCACTTCTGCCGGCTCTTCATTCCAGACTCAGAGCAAGGGTCACTGGTGTTCGCTGACACATTCCCTCTCCACCCTCCTAGCAGAACGGAGCAGGATCTCTTTTGTGACTCCCCTGAACCATGCTCAGATTTCCATCATAGCAACTTATTTTGGCTTAATGCACCTAACTATTGACTTGTCTGTCTCTCTGACTGAGCAGGAAGCTCATCAAGAACAGGAAGCTCATAAGACCTACTCTCATTTAGCTTTATATCCTCAGTGCCTGGTACACAGCAGGCTCCAAAATGCTAAGTAGACAAATGAGCATATGACATAGAATGGAGTGGCAAGTTAAAGTCAGATCATTTGCTGTGAATCGTGTTAGAAGGGCTCACTATTTAAAGTGGCAAAGTTAAAGTACTCTGTTCTATTTCAGGTAAAGGCTTCAGGGCTGGCAGAGACACAGGGACTGTCCAATACCACATAGCTTGTCAAAATCAAAACATCGTTTCCCATTCTCAGTCCAGGGCTCTTTCTAGTATACCTCTAACACCGCAAGTTTCCCTACCAAATGTTCTCAGGTATAATATTCTCATTTTATTTTTGTATGGGACTTTCAGCTCACCATCATTCCAGCTGCACAAGCAGGATGTGGGTGACATCCAAAATGCTTTTCTTCCTCAGAGTCCTATTGATTTTATCCCCTCAATATCTGATGGATGTTTTTCTCTCCATCCCACTGCCACTATCTTTGCCCAGGGTCTAGACCTCCCCCATCTGGATCATTAAAAAGCTCTTGTCTGCTCTATATCTAGCAGGCTGCTTAATACATAAAAGGCATTCAAATATGCATCGAATGCAATGAGGACTCCAGACAGTTTGGTTCTGCAGGACCCTAACGTAAAAGGCAGGGAGCTGCAAGAACACGGCTGAAGAACTACACCGGGACCCACTCAGGAGAACAACAGATAGTGAGTTCAGGGCTATTTCCTCCAGACAGGGCAGATTTGCATTTGAGATTGAACATCAGGGTCAGTGTGTAGAGGATGAACATGAGAGGGCAAGTCTAAAGCCAGAGATCCAGATAAGCGTGTGTACAAGGACAGCCTCGAGCTGACTCTGGAACTGGAAGCCTGGACAGAGTCTAGAGGTGCAGGCATGATGTGGGCACAGCTTGAATACATGTCCCAGGTAAAGAGTCCTGGCTCTACTATAGTCTCTGAAGACCTCTCAGTTCTATTTTCTCTTGTGTAAATGAAAATTTCAACTAACTTATAGGGTTTTTATAAGGATCAAATGAGAGAATTATATGAAAGTGTCCAGCACAATGTCTGGCACATAAATGTTCAGTAACTTTTAGCTCAAGTTGGGAAATGTATATGCATTTAAAATTCTAGGTTCTTACCACTCAGTAAATCTCTCCATAGATTTTTATTTCAAGGATCTATGTACAGCTTTAAAAAAAAAAGAAAAACTTCAATTTTTTTACTTATTAAATCTTATGGTAATGCCATAATTCCTGAAAGCCTCCTCGAAGTAAAAATTTTTAATGAAAATCTCAATATCTAGATATGTCCCCAAAATTGTTTTCTCTAATATGAAACAGATCCACAGCTCTGATGCAGCTCAAAACTAGGCATCCAGTCTTAGTCCCAGCAACCCAGTTCAGGTTCAGATCCAAATGGCAAATCAAGCATGACTGCCAGCTTCCTCCCCTCGAAATCCCCCACACGCAGGGGTGGCGGGGGGTGGAATCTAGAAGTATAGGCTAAAGGGAGGTAAAATTATACCTGGGAAAAAGACATGGATATTGGTAAATTTTAGTTATGTATGTGAAAATAAATACTGGATTTTAAGAAACCATAGAAAAATATAAGTAGAATATGTAACTTTCGATCAGCAATAGAGAGGCACCTAACAAATATTTGAGATATCCAAAGGAAGACAGGAAAGGTGATAGAATAAAAAGAAAAAGCACAATAAATGGAAAACAAGGGTAAACAAGAGATAACTCCTAATATATTAAAATAAATGTAAAGTTTCAACTAACCAATTAAAAAGACAGACTATTACTAAGTCTCAACCCTTCTATCAGTTTATTTAATTCTATGCCTACTTTGTTTCCTACTATATACCTGAGGTCTAGGACAGTGTTTGATGCATAGCAGGCATTCATTCAATAGTTATTGAACCAAATGAATCAATAAATGAGTAAAAGCAAGCATGAAAAATGGACTTCTACCAATTGCTTATTTTCACTGACTTTTAATAGGGCTACCAACTTAAATTGTTATTGTTTTTAAAGGAAGTCCTAAAACAACAATCTTTGCTATACAAGCATTTTTAATAAAAGCATTTATCTTTCAATAAATATAATAAATGATGAGCATGTGATTTCTCACAATGAAAGACTTATCTAAACATTCAAGGGAAATGATCTTAAAATCTATAGCTGGTGCCCATGGTTTCTCATACCAATATAGAGACAAGAGACACAAAACAATAAAGGAAGGCCTGAAGCAGGCAATATAACTGGCACAAGAAAAGAGGCTCAGTGTGTCTCTGAACTGATGTGCCTTTGCTGCCCAGTACAGTGC